CTCCTGGAAATCAACCCTTGTCGTCTGGAAATCAACACTCATCTTTTTGAAATCAACACTCGTCTTCTGGAAATTAATCCGCGTCTTTTGGAAATCTACCCTTGTCTTTTGGAACTCAACCCTCGCCTTCTGGAAATCAACACTCGTCTTTTGGAAATCTACCCTCGTCTTCTGCAAATCAACACTAAACTTTTGGAAAACAAACCCTCATCTTCAGCAAATCTATCCTCGTCTGCTGGAAATCTACACTCGTCTTTTGGAAATCTACCCTCGTCTTCTAGAAATCAACACTCGTCTTTTGGAAATCAACCCTCGTCTTCTGGAAGTCAACCCTCGTCTTCTGGAAATCAACACTCATCTTTTGGAAATCAACACTCATCTTCTGGAAATCAACACTCGTCTTTTGGAAATCTCATCTTATGGAAATCTACCCTCATCTCCTGGAAATCTACCCTCATCTCCTGGAAATCTACTCTCGTCTTTTGGAAATCTACCCTCATCTTCTGGAAATCAACACCCGTCTTTTGGAAATCTACCCTCGTCTTCTGGAAATCAACACCCGTCTTTTGGAAATCTACCCTCATATTTTGGAAACCAACACCCGTCTTTTTGAAATCAACACTTATCTTCTGAAAATCAACACCCATCTTTTGGAAATCTACCCTCATCTTTTGGAAACCAACACCCATCTTTTGGAAATCAACACTCATCTTCTGGAAATCTACCCTTGTCTTTTGGATATCTATGCTCATCTTCTGGAAATCAACACTCTTCTTCTGGAAATCAACACTTGTCTTTTGAAAATCTACCCTCGTTTTTGCAAATCTATGATCATCTTCTGGAAATCAACAATCGTCTTTTGGAAATCTGCCCTCGTCTTCTGCAAATCTACCCTCATCTTCTGGAAATCTGCCCTCGTCTTTTGGAAATTTACCCTTGTCTTTTGGAAAGCAACCCTCATCTTTTCAAATTCTACCCTCATCTTTTCACAATCTACCCTCATCTTTTCGAAGTCAACCCTCATATTTCTGAAATCATTTGCTACTCAAATCCCATTTCGCCATTTTGCCATTGAGGCCGATTGTTTTTTTATTGATATTGATTTTCCTTCACCTGTCTATCAATTGTATGTATAGAGATCTGTTTCCCCCCCAGTTGTCTACATAGCAGCAGCCATTGGAAAAAAAATGAAGGAAAAGGAATATATAAATATTTATATATAAATATAAAGATTTCTATGTAACATTTAGCATTGTTTTTCAAAGGAAAAAAAACTCCCAAAGAGCATGCAAGAAAAGCAGAAGATGAAAGCAAAATATGTTCAAGAGAAATATATATATATTTCGGGGAAGTGGGGGTCTGTTTGTGTCAGAGTTTAGAAGTGACCCCATCAAAAGAAAAGGGAGTTGTAGTGTGTAATGAGAAAGCGAAAGAGAGAAGAAATAGATAGAGAAGGAGAGAAAAAAGGAGGAAGGGAGGTAAGAAAAGGTGAGGGCATAGCAGAGAAAGGAAACCATATAGGAAGCCAACCGGCATGAAAAGAGGACAAGAGAATAGAAACGGTTTATTTAAAAGGGAAGTCAACTTGGGGAGTCAAATTCAGCTTCATTTGTTCGGATCGCTTGATGGGTATGCTTCCTGCAGAACTTATCATAGGATTCTCTTGGTCCTCCGACACAACTCTATGGATTGCGGGGTCCAGGAGTGAATTGTTTACATGGAGTTTGGTCATATACGCAGTTGATATGGCACTCTTATCGCATTTATGTAAGGGTCGCCATCATGTTACAACTCTATGGTGTAATGGTGGAGCGATTGATGACTAAAAATAGTTTTCAATGTGGGGAACACAATCAATCAATCGATCGATCAATACATTAAAGGTGATCAATTGGGTTCATTTGGGGATTTTCCAAGAAGTTGTTTCACCCACTTCCATGGAAAAGTTTGGATTTGGAATCCCCTTTCGTTGGGACCGTTGTCTTCCCTTTTAAACGCGAAATCTCAACAGATGACAAAGTTCAACGATTGTAAAGAATTTCAAAGTGAGATGCCAGTGCATTTCTTAAATCAGCTGGGAAGATTCCACAATAACACACACACACACACATACATACGAACCCCAGTATAAAAATAAATAGGGGAAAAGAAGAAGAAGAAGAAATCATATATTCTAGATCCATACGACAACAGAAGAAGAAGAAGTAGAAAAAGAGGGGAAAGAGAGAAAGATTGAGAGAAAGTTTGAGAGTGAGAGAGAGAGAAAAAGAGAGGGATAGTTTGCATTTCTGTACATTACAAAAAGGAAGAAATGGGAAAGAAATACGGGGATCCAAAAGGCTCATATCCTCCGGCCACCCGCCCCAACCCACCTTTCCCTGCTTCTGCCAAAGAAGAAAATGGAACATTTATGTTACTACCTTTCAGACGGGAGGCTAAAGAAAAACACAGAGTGGGATTAAAAATAATAATAATTTTTTTTTCCGGCAAAAAAAGAAAAAAAAGAAAGAGAAGTCTCGTAAAAGAGCACCCGCCACAGTCGTCAATACCCAAAGGAAAGGGGGCTGATCAGGTGGAAAAAGAACGGGACAATTTGTGGTGTTCGCTCAATAGGGTTGATAGTCCCAATGAGTGCTAGATCTATTCCGGGTATTAGTGGGAACTTCCGTACGATCTGAGATATGGAGCTGCCCTACCGCTTGTTTCCAAACCAAGATTGAATCCAGCCTCCCAAGGAGCTCTCCGAGGTCCTGAACCAGCTTCAGGACCTTGGAGAGCTCCTTTGAAATGGGCCCCGACCTTGAGTGAATAGCATCCGCTATTTACGAGCACAACCCAATAGGGAAATATCAATTTGTTGGGTGATTCGAGACATATAGTTATGCTGAAGCTATCACAGGGTTTTCTGGGGCTGGATGGTGATGGCATGTTCGGGTCGTCCAATGGGATTTCATACCGAGCTAGAATTTGAATCTGAGATTTGGAGCTGCTCCACTGCTCATTTCCAAACCAGGATTGAATTCATCCTCAAAAGGAGCTCTCCGAGGTCCTGAACCAGATTCCAAACCAGTTTCAGCACTTCTGAGAGCTCCTTTGAAACACTGAGAACATTCGTTCAACATGAGATATGGAGCTACCTCACTACTCGTTTCCAAACTAGGATTGAATTCATCCTCAAAAGAAGCTCTCCGAGGTTCTGAACCAGATTCCAAACCAGTTTCAGCACCTTTGAGAGCTCCTTTGAACATTGAGAACTTTCGTTGAACATGAGATATGGAGCTACCTCACCTCTCGTTTCCAAATTAGGATTGAATTCATCCTCCCAAGGAGCTCTCTGAGATTCTGAACCAGATTCCAAACCAGTTTTAGCACTGTAGAGAGCTTCTTTGAAGCAGGCACAGAACTCGAGTGGATTCACCAGCGCCAGCTATTTACGAGCACAACCCAATAGGGAAATACCCATTTGTTGGGTGATTCAAGACATTTTTGAGCTATGCTGAAGCTATCACAGGGTTTTCTGAGGCTGGATGGTGATGGCATGTTAGGCTCATCCAATGGGATTTCATACCGAGCTGGAATTTGAATCTGAGATTTGGAGCTGCCCCACCGTTCATTTCCAAACCAGGATGGAATTCAGTCTCCCAAGGAGCTCTCCGAAGTTCTGAACTGGATTCCCAACCAGTTTCAGCACCTTAGAGAGCTCCTTTGACGCAGGCCCCGACCTTAGATGGCCCCTAGATCCCATATCAGTTGGCAGCCTCTAGGTTAGAGGGGCAACCCACTCTTTTCTGCTCCAAAGGAGCTCTCCAAGATGCTAAACTCATGGAAGAATACGATTCAGGACCAGGATTGAATTCTGCCTCCCAAGGAGCTCTCCGAAGTTCTGAACTGGATTCCAAACCAGTTTCAGCACCTTAGAGAGCTCCTTTGAAGCGGGCCCTGATCTTAGGTGGCCCCTAGATCCCATATCAGTTGGCAGCCTCTAGGTCTGAGGGGCAACCCACTCTTTTCAGCTCCAAAGGAGCTCTCCAAGGTGCTGAACTCCTGGAGGAATACGATTCAGGACCAGGATTGAATTCTGCCTCCCAAGGAGCTCTCCTAAATTCTGAACCAGATTCCAAACCAGTTTCAGCACCTTAGAGAGCTCCTTTGAAGGGGCCCCCGGCCTTAGGTGGCCCCTAGATCCCATATCAGTTGGCAGCCTCTAGGTCAGAGGGGCAACCCACTCTTTTCAGCTCCAAAGGAGCTCTCAAAGGTGCTGAACTCATGGAAGAATACGATTCAGGACTAGGATTGAATTCTGCTTCCTAAGGAGCTCTCCGAAGTTCTTAACTGGATTCCAAACCAGTTTCAGCACCTTAGAGAGCTCCTTTGAAGAGGGGCCCCGACCTTAGGTGGCCCCTAGATCCCATATCAGTTGGCAGCCTCTAGATCAGAGGGGCAACCCACTCTTGTCAGCTCCAAAGGAGCTCTCCAAGGTGCTAAACTCATGGAGGAATACAATTCAGGACCTTGGAGAGCTACGCTTCCCATCATCCTATCTCCTGGCCTCTAGCGATTGGTGGATTTTTCCTAAATCTGTTTGGGGGCCAAACCTGGAGAGTACTCAATGCGAAAGCTGCTGACTTGGAGGGAGGTATTTAAAAATGGCAGCGTGAGCAATAGGGACGTTCGGCACATACACCCCACGTTTCACGGTAAGCCATAACCTTGGCGAAACCACAACCCTTCTCTCCCCAGTCTTACAAAGGGAAAGGGGGAGAGGAAATGTAGGGCGTGGAAAAATAAATGATTTCGGAGGGATGTAAGCATCCTCCCCAATGTTTAGTTTTCCCAGGCTCTTCAGATGGGCAGGGAGAAAGGGAGGGTCTCCATAGGAATTGAGAGACCCTGTTCTTTGGCGAATCTTGGAAGAAGGGAGTGATGGGATGGGCGAGGACGGGTGTCTCTGGGGAAGGAAGGATGGGGTTGAACCGAAACGGAGACGGAAGCGTCCGTACCTCCTGTTTTCTCTCCGCAAGGGCCCCGTGGCTGTGGCGTCCGTTCTGAGCACCGCCCTTGTGCCCGTTCTGGTGCGGGGTGGCCGATCGGCTGTGGCCGGTGCAGGACGAGGACGGGCTACGGCTGGACCGGGGGCTGGTGGCCTTCATCCCTCCCTCTCTGTAGCCAGGGCTCAATCTGCGGGGGGAAAACGGACAGAGAAAGAGGGTCGTTCCTTCTTCCGTGGGTCCAGGTTGACCTTCATACGCAGCTGTTCACTGCCTCTCAAACAACTGTATTCCGAGTTGGACAGGTGAACACTTTCGATAATATGTCTTCTAGGAAGTGAATGTGTCCATGCTCTGATTGGTTGAGAATGGACACCATCGGTGACTGCAATTTCCAGAACCCTCTCTTGCGGTTTGTCTTATTATAAAAAAATGTTATGGTAAAAACTTTTTTAAAATCTAAAAAATCAGTAAATTGGTGAATTGTTCTGAAACTTGTGATTGATAACCTAGGACCAAAAATTGTATTGAATCGTGTAATCGCATGAGGGCGGGCTTACCTGCTGGTTGACTTGCAGTTGCTGTAGTTGGAAGAGAGAGAGGTGCTGCGTGAGCTGCAGCTGCTGCGTCGGTGGGACCGCCGGGTCGAAGACTCGCTGTGGGACCTGGAAGGGGACGGAGAGGAGCAAGGAGGCATTGAAGAGCCGGGGAAGGCCTAGCAGCAAGGCTTTTTTGGTGGCCGCACAATATGGTCTTGCCAGGAAAACTTATTGAATAGTTAAGTATTCTTAACACCGTTCCCTAAAGGGCCGGGCTTTAGCACAGCGGGTTAAACCGCCAGCTGCAGAAAATCTTCCTGATCGAAAGGTCGACAGTTCAAGCCCAGTTTGGGGTGAGCTCCCAATTGTCAGCCCAGCTTCTGCTCACCTGAAAACAGCAATGTGAGTAGATAAATAGGTACCGCTTTGGCAGGAAGGTAATAAAATGCACCCATGCGGACATGTTGGCAATTTGATTGGGAGAGTGTCTAAAGACAATGAAGATGGAGTGACAGCACCACCTTGAGGCCAGAGTCAAGAACAGCCTCCAGATGCCAGAGATGGAAAAAGATGGGAAGACTTCACCTCTGTTTGTGTACTGTCTGTCTTAGTTAATTGTTTAACGGTATTGGAATGTATTGTCGAAGGCTTTCATGGCCGGAATCACTGGGTTGTTGTAGGTTTTTTGGGCTATATGGCCATGTTCTAGAGGCATTCTCTCCTGACGTTTCGCCTGCATCTATGGCAAGCATCCTCAGAGGTAGTGAGGTCTGTTGGAACTAGGAAAAAGGGTTTATATATCTGTGGAATGACCAGGGTGGGACAAAGGACTCTTGTCTGCTGGAGCTAGGTGTGAATGTTTCAACTGACCACCTTGATTAGCATTTGATTGCCTGGCAGTGCCTGGAGCAATCTTTTGTTGAGATGTGATTAGATGTCCTTGTTTGTTTCCTCTCTGTTGTTGTGCTGTTGTAATTTTAGAGTTTTTTTAATACTGGTAGCCAGATTTTGTTCATTTTCATGGTTTCTTCCTTTCTGTTGAAATTGTCCACATCCTTGTGGATTTCAATGGCTCTGAGGATGCTTGCCATAGATGCAGGCGAAACGTCAGGAGAGAATGCCTCTAGAACATGGCCGTATAGCCTGAAAAAACCCACAACAACCCGGTATTGGAATGTTTGCTGTATATGTGTACTATAGTCCACCCGGAATCCCTTCAGGGAGATAGGGTGGAATATAAAGTATATTATTATTATTATTATTATTATTATTATTATTATTATTATTATTATTATCCCATTAATGTAGTGGGTCTCCTGTAGTAAACTAGGAGTAGGTTGAAGCCAGTGTGGTCACACCCTGCACAGTTTGAAGGGGGGACTTAGAAGGAACGCACCTTTTCCGGTCTTTGTTTTTCTCTTTCCGTTTGCTCTTGGGACTCCTGGACCTACAAGAGAGAGAGAGAGCAGAAAACTGAACACAGAAGGAAAAAGAAAATCACAACTTCCAGGATCTTTTATGGGACCCAGAAGGAGGATCTTCCACAACCTTGGCTGCCAGTTGCAGCGGATCGGAAGAATCAATATTTTCAAAGTCTTCACCAAGGGAAAGCAATACAAAATGGTAGAGCCAGAGTCCAAAGAAAAACTCATGGGGTTTTGTGGGTTGTTGGAATACTGGGTCTCGTCTCGGCTTAAAATGAGCTCTCCGAGGAGAGGTGGGAAATGAATGAAAATTATTAAAAATATTATTATTATTATTATTATTATTATTATTATTATTATTATTATTATATGTTAATATCATATATTATTATTATATGTTAATATCATTCTTTATTATTCTATTATTCTATTTTATTATTATTATATGTTAATATCATTCTCATATATATATATATTTATATATATACATATACACACACACACATATATATATATATACACACACACACACATATATACATACTAGCCATCCCCTGCCACACGTTGCTGTGGCCAAGTCTGTGTATATGTGCACTGAGTGTGTATATGTGTGTGTATATTTGTGTGTTGTTGTTCATTCGTTCAGTCGTCTCCGACTCTTCGTGACCTCATGGACCAGCCCACGCCAGAGCTCCCTGTCGGCTGTCACCACTCCCAGCTCCTTCAAGGTCAGTCCAGTCACTTCAAGGATGCCATATTTGTGTATATGTGTATATACACGTGTCTGTGTGGTTTTGCGCATGTGTTATAATGTAATTTTTGTTTTTTGGCTTTTTAAGTCAATTCTGTTGTGTTTTCCAGTGTTTTTATGAGTGATGGTCAGTTGTTGGCCTGATGGGTGTATTGTGTCCAAATTTGGTCTCAATTCATCCAGTGGTTTTTGAGTTATGTTAATCCCACAAACAATAATGGTGTGTGTCTATGTGTGTGTGTGTGTGTATACACACACACTCACATATACATACATATATACATACATACATACACACACACCATTATTATTACTATTGATATATTTTATATATTTACTATTGTGATATTTTTGGCCACAAGCGGGCGCCATCCCCTTCTCCAGAGATGGACTTAGAGAAGATGAAAACTGGAGAAGAACAAAGGAGGAATGGAGGCTGTTCATCCTCACCTGTGTCTCCTCTTCTTCCGGGATCCAGATGTAGACCTGGCGCACAATCAGCAAGATGGAAACAGAGAGAGAGGGAGAAAAATATGGAGGAGATGCTCATCTGTTTCAAAGCCATTTCCCCAATGTTTGGTTATGTCCCAGCAAGATCCACCGTTTTGTTTGTCCATGTGAAGCCTTCCAATGTTTGCTTATAGCCCTATCCTCCAACCCTTCGATGGCTTCTCTTCTTGATGCAACCATGGTAAAACCGTCCCTTGTTACAAGTCCTATTTTTGAACTATTTTAGAGCTCTGAGCTCTGCGAGTGCAGCATTTTCCCGAATGAAGCAGAGAGTGTTTGAGGACCGAGATAATCCATAGGGATACCAAGGTGCTTGTCTATAAAGCTATTGTCCTCCCAACCCTGCTCTATGCCTGTGAGACGTGGACTGTCTACAGATGTCACATGCAACTCCTGGAACGATTCCATCAGCGTTGCCTCTGGAAAATCCTGCAAATCTCCTGGGAAGACAAGCGGACAAATGTCAGCGTGCTGGAAGAAGCAAAGACCACCAGCATTGAAGCGATGGTCCTCTGCCATCAACTCCGCTGGCGGCCACGTTGTCCGGATGCCTGACCACCGTCTCCCAAAGCAGTTGCTCTACTCTGAACTTAAGAATGGAAAATGGAATGTTGGTGGACAGGAAAAGAGATTTAAAGATGGCCTCAAAGCCAACCTTAAAAACTCTGGCATAGACACTGAGAACTGGGAAGCCCTGGCCCTTGAGCGCTCCAGCTGGAGGTCAGCTGTGACCAGCAGTGCTACAGAATTCGAGGAGGCACGAGTGGAGGGTGAAAGAGAGAAACATGCCAGGAGGAAGGCGTGTCAAGCCAACCCCGACCGGGACCGCCTTCCACCTGGAAACCAATGTCCTCACTGTGGGAGAAGATGCGGGTCAAGAATAGGGCTCCACAGCCACCTACGAACCCACAAAGAAACGCATAATGGAAGACCATCTTACTCATCCAACGAGGGATTGCCTAAGGAAGGGGAACTAGAGATATCTAGAAGTTTTCACACGGAAAACATGATGCAACGGCTCTGGCCCGAAGCTGAGCACCACCTCTTTGGAGGCATCTCGGGGACTTCTGATTTTCAACCATTTTGCAGCCACCTTTCTGGACAACCTGATGGTATCTCAAGACACTTCCAAGAGCTGAATGTAGGGCATATAGGACTTCTTCTCATGCTCAAGGCTCTATATGACCCAAAGGCCCAACACTCAGTCTTCCACCTTGGAAGAGTTGGAGATATTGAAGGGACTAGGACTACGGTAATAGTGGAAAAGTACCAGCCAGGGCTAGAGAGGGCTAGCCAAAGCAGATAGCTCAGTCAAGGGAAAAGTTCAAAAGGAAATGCCTAGTAACAAGCAGGAAGGGGAAGGAGAGGGGAATCGAAGGTAAAGAGTCACAGAAATAGTGACAACAGCTGACACCAAGAAGGGAACAAAGAAAGAGATAGAGATGAGGCACAAATTAGAGAAAATAACTTGGGAGACTTTGAAACTGAGCTGCGTCTTAGTATTGTGTGGCACTCTTCTCGTTCACCCGGCAGGGTGATGTGATCAAATAAACCTGTTGAACAATCTTTTTGTTTCCAGTGTTTGATGGGATGAAAGGATCCTGGAGGTTTTGGGGCTACTTGATAAGAAAGGGCCATGACAGAGGGGCCCCAACAGTATTAAACTTTTGGGCCTCTCAACATCCTTTGGTGGATTTGAGGCTTTGCAGTCCAAAACAAACCCTCCCAAATCCGGGTCTATAGTGACCTTGCTTAGACTCCTCCCCTTATGGATTGGGATTTGTTTCATCTTTCCCCCATTGACCCTTCTGCCGGAGGAGAGGGAAGTTGTAGTATACGAAAGCACTGCATTGGAAGGGAAAAGGGGAGGAATGATCCTCCAGAACAGAAGCCCCCACTTAGACTGACTTACCTCTCCCTCCGGTGTTTTTTCCCTGTCTTTTTCTTCTTTTCCTTCCGGACCGAGGAAGAGCTATCTCCACTGCAAAGAAAAAAGGCGAGAGAGCAGTCAGTTGAGAAAGGAAGAGGATGGGTCAAGCATTGATCAACACCGAGGGAAGTTCAGGCATATTGAGAAAGGTTGAGTTTCAGAAGCCCCATGATCCCCCTCCCCGAGAAATACTAGGTGAAGTGGCCCACTGTGATGTCACTGGGAAAGAAAAGTGACGTATGGATGAAGGGGTAGAAGGGAGGGAGAAAAGGAAGGAAAGAATGGAAAAGGAAGGAAGGAAGTGAAAGGAAGAGAGAAGAAGAGGAGGGAAAGAAAGAAAAGAGAAGAAAGAAGAAAGAAAGAAAGAAAGAAAAAGAAAGGAAAGAATGGAGGGAGGGAGGGAGGGAGGGAGGGAGGGAGGGAGGAAGGAGAGGAAGGAGAGGATGGAGGGAGGGAGGGAGGGAGGAAGGAAGGAAGGAAGAAGGAAGGAAGGAAAGGAAGGAAGGAAGGAAGGGAGGAGGGAAGGAAGGAAGGAAGGAAGGGAGAAAGGAAGGAAGGGGAGAGGAAAAAGAGAGAAGAGAAAGGAAGGAAGGGGAAGAGAAGGAAGGAAAGGAAGGAAGGAAGGAAGGAAAGAGAAGGGAAAGAAGGAAGGAAGGAAGGAAGGAGGTAGGAGGAGAGGGGTGGGAGAAAGGAAGGGGAGGAAGGGAGAGGAAAAAGAAGGGAAAGAAAGGAAGAAAAGGAAGGAAGGAAGGAGAAGGAAAGGAAAGGTAGAAGAAAGAAGAAGAAAGAAGAAAGAGAAAGAAGGAAGGAAGGAAGGAAGGAGAAGAAGAAGGAAGGAAGGAAGGAAGGAAGGAAGGAAGGAAGGAAGGCAGGCGGGTGGGAGAAAGGAAGGGAAGGGAAGGGAGAGAGAAAAAGAAGGGAAGAGAAAGGAAGGAAGGGGAAGGAGAAGGAGAAGGAAAGGAAAGGTAGAAGAAAGAAAGAAAGAAAGAAAGAAAGAAAGAAAGAAAGAAAAGAAAGAAAGGGATAAGGTATGAGGGAAACAGAGGAAGAAAAGAAAGAGCCAGAACGTTGCCATGGAGGCATTGTGAGGAAGATCTCAAAGCTGGAGAAGGGAGAAAGTAGGTGGGCAGGGCTCCTAATGACACCCAGGAAATGCTGGGATATACGTTAAGTGTGTGTAGTCATTGGTGGCACCCTTTCCAAAGCCGGGACAAGCTTTCTCAGAAATGTTGTTGGTTTGAGGAGGTATTGCGGGGCCCAAGTGGTGGCAAGAGGCCCAGGTGGTGATGAGGAGGAGGAGGAAGAGAAAGGTAAAGAGGGCAAGGAGGGAAGGGGAGGGAGCGTCCCTACTTTGCGGAATTTCACTTATCACTGATGGTCCTGGAACATAACACCCGCGATAAGTGAGGGACCACTACACACACATGCACATCTCCAAGGTCCTTCACTGAGGAGATAGTGCATAATGTTACGCCCACAGTTAGTGTGGCAGTTGGACAATGCTGCTCTTAGCGGATGGAGATGTTCCACAATTGTATGGAGGACACACAATAGGGATCCATGCACAATATGAAGTCTATTCCGAGAAGGAATGTGACTCACCTGCGTTCTGATCCCGGCTTCCGTTTCTTGCTGTGGTCGCAAGGGAAGAAACAGACAAAGCAAAAGGTAAAGAGCAATTCTTCATTTGCTACAGGAAGATCCCGAGGTTCTCTAAGTTCTCCCAAGACTAGACCACTCTCAAATGCCTCCTTATATGCTGCAGGTAGATCCCTAGGTTCTAGACCACCTTTGTAGGCTACCATAAGCTCTGAACATATTTGAGTTGGGAAGCTAAGCAAGGATAAGCCTGGGAAGTGCTTGGAGGGGAGACTGCTGAGAAGAAAGAACAGGTATGAACAGACACAGTCAACGATTGACCTCTCAACGCTGGGTGGGAGGCCTATGACTCTCCACTCTTGTGGGTGACTCACCGGCTCCGGCGATGACCCGATTTCTTCTTCTTCTTCTTTTTCGGAGGGGGAGAGGTGGAGCTACTGGATCGCCTCTTCAGCCTATGAGGGAAGAGGAAGAGGAGGCTGGTCGCATTGGCCAAGTCTTTGCTTCTGGAAGCCATACGTGGCCATGGCCTTCCAGATTCCTGTAGGGCACCTGGAATAACTTACCTGTATTCTCGATGACTGCTGTCATCTTGGTAACAGTCGCTTGTACAGTCCCACTGGAGCGGGCAGCCTTCCCCGTATTCGGCGTACTCTCTCGCATACCCTTCTCCATCCTCTGCGTGATGGTTTTCTATCATTCTGTCCAAGGAAAAAAGGAGGAGGAGGAAATGGAGGAGAAGGAGAGGGAGATGAGGATGGAGATGATGGAGTTGGAGGAGGGAAAGAAAGAAGAGGAGGAAGAAATGGAGATGGAGAAAGAAGGCGGAGATGGAAATGAGGAAGATAGAGATGATGGAGGAAGGGAAGAGGGAGAAGATGGGGATGATGAGGATGATGGATAGGAAGGAGGAAGAAATAGAGGTGGAGATGACAAGGATGAGAATGATGGAGATGATGGAGGATGAGAAGAAGTAAGAACAGGAAGAGATAGAGATGGAGGGAGAAGGAGATGGAGATGAGGATATTAGAGATGGAGATGTTGGAGTTGGAGGAGGGGAGAAGGAAGAGAAGGAGAAAGAAGGTGGAGATGGAGATAAAGATGATAGATATTATGGCGATGGAGGAGGGGAAGGGGAGAAGATGGGGGTGATGGAGGATAGGAAGTAGGAAGAGGAGGAAATGGAGGTGGAGATGAGAATGATGGAGATGATGGAGGATGAGAAGAAGTAAGAACAGGAAGAGATAGAGATGGAGAAAGAAGGAAAAGGAGATGGAGATGAGGATGATAGAGATGATGTTGGAGTTGGAGGAGGGGGAGAAGGAAGAGATGGAGATGGAGAAAGAAGATGGAGATAAGGATGATAGAGATTATGGCAATGGAGGAGGAGAAGGGGGAGAAGATGGTAATGATGAGGATGATGGAGGATAAGAAGTAAGAACAGGAGGAAATGGAGATGATGGAAATGGAGATGAGGTTGATGGAGGATGGGAAGAAGTAAGAAAGAGGAGGAGATAGAGATTGAGGAAGAAGAAGAAGAAGGAGATAGGGATGATGATGATAGAGATGATGGAGATAGAGATGGAGGAGGGGGAGGAGAAGGAGATGGAGGAGATGGAGGTGATGGAGATGAGGATGGAGGAGGGGAAGGAGAGGGCGGAGAATGAGATGATGCAGATGATGGTGTTGGAGGAGGAGGAGATGGAGAAGATGGAGATGACAGAGATGGAGAAAGAATGAGAAGGAAAGGAGATGATGGAAATGAAAGAGATAGAGATGAGAATGATAGAGATGATGGAGATGAGAGAGATGGAGAATGAGGAGGAGGAGATGAAGATGATGGAGATGGACAATGAGAATGGAGAGGAAGAGAAGGAGGAGGAGATGATGGAGATTATGATGATAGAAATAGAGAATAAGAATGAGGAGATGGAGATGAAGATGGAGAAGGAGAAGGAGAAGGAAGAGGACGAGGAAATGGTGATGGACCATGAAAATGGAGAGGAAGAGAAGGAGGAGGAGATGATGGAGATGATTATGATAGAAATAGAGAATAAGAATGAGGAGATGGAGATGAAGATGATGATGGAGAAGGAGAATGAGAAGGAAGAGGAYGAGGAAATGGAGATGATAGCGATAGAGATGGAGRAGGAGGAGGAAGAAGAGGAAGAGAAGTACTTAAAACACTACAGGAACATATACACCTATGCATAAGTAAACTTAAATGTACATGTACACACATATAGGTCTTCTTAAGCACTCCTTCCTCTTGTTTGTGGGGCCTTTGACCCAAGATCTGCCGGTTGGCGTTGAATGCCCTCAATTGGCCTTTCACTCATGGTCACCCTATGAATGGCAGAACTCCAAGGATGACGTATTTCTGGTGTCCATTGTTGGAAAGGCTCAGTATAAAGGTAACCCATCTATACACAGAAAAGTGATAATACGTCTGTATGTTTGTACCACAAGGGCTTCTCCACGGCTTGATGGATCTTGACCAAATATGGTAGACTTATACTTTCTGATCTAACTTAAAATACGGGCAGGGTATCAATTTATAATTCCACCCCTTTTGTGATATATCTTTCATTTTTAAAGCGAAGTACAATGTGCAGTTGCAGTGCTCAAGTGCAACCAGAAGAGGGCAGTATAGAGACAGAAATGCTAAGAGCATTCCCTGGAGATGTTCAGAGGGTCAGGAAAAGGTGGGAGAGAGCTGGAGAAGGGAGAAAGGAGGCAGGAGGGAAAGGAAGAGGGCATATCTGGGCAATGCAAGGTATATACTCTACGGTGTAAATAAATAAGATGCGATTCTGTCTCTTTTCCCTCTATGTGATTAATATCAATTACGACATCAGTATCAATTCTTTTCTTTGTCTCTTCCAAAGGAGGAAATACAGAGACGAGACTGCCGGAAGAGGCAAAACACCCTTCAGCGGGCGACGGCCCCACAAGGCATTGCTCTCTCTTTCTCAGGCATCGTAACCCAATTACCAGCTGAGTGAATAATTGGCCGTTTTAAAGGAAATGAACCCCGGGATATTTTGGCTCAGTGAAGGAGACAAAGAAGGAAAATAAAATGTGTTTGAGAGACAGCGCTGGGGAGCGCTTTGAGAGACGGACTAGATTGACGAAACGTTTGGGGGGAAACAGAAGCTGGGTGGCCATCTGTCAGGAGGGCTTTGATTGTGTCTTCCTGCCGGGCAGAAGGGAGTCAGGCTGGATGAACTTTGGGGTTTCTCCAGCTCTATGATTTCACAAAACTCAGCCTTGCAAAGTGGACCATGTTGAATCCTGGATGCTTCCTTAAATTAAGCAGAGGCTGGATGGCCATCTGTTGGGAGGGTTTTTATTGTGTCTTCCTGCATCGCAAGGGGTTGGATTGGACAGCCCTTGGGGTCTCTCCCTTCTCTATGACTTTATGTTTTAGAGGCTGGGTGGCCATCTGTAAGGAGGGCTTTGATTGTGTCTTCCTGCAGAGGAAGGGGTTGGACTAGATGGCCCTTGGGGAGGCTGGATGGCCATCTGTAAGGAGGGCTTTGATTGTGTATTCCTGCAGAGGAAGGGGTTGGACTGGATGGCCCTTGGGATCTCTTCCATATGTTTTAGAGGCTGGATGGCCATCTGTTGGGAGGGTTTTTATTGTGTCTTCCTGCATCGCAAGGGGTTGGATTGGACAGCCCTTGGGGTCTCTCCCATCTCTATGATTCTATGTTTTAGAGGCTGGGTGGCCATCTGTAAGGAGGGTTTTGATTGTGTTTTCCTGCATAGCAAGGGGTTGGACTGGACAGCCCTTGGGGTCTCTCCCATCTATATGACTCCATGTTTCAGAGGGTGAATGGCCATCTGTAAAGAGGGCTTAGATTGTGCCTTCCTGCATAGCAGGGAGTTGGGCTGGAGAGCCTTTGGGGTCTTTCAATCTCTATGCTTCTATGTTTTAGAGGCTGGATGGCCATCTGTAAAGAGGGGTTTGATTGTGTTTTCCTGCATAGTGAGGGGTTCGACTGGACAGCCCTTGGGGTCTCTTCCATCAATAGGATTCTGTTTTAGAGGCTGGATGGCCATCTGTAAGGAGGGCTTTGATTATGTTTTCCTGCAGAGCAAGGGATTGGACTGGACAGCCCTTGGGGTCTCTTCCATATGTTTTAGAGGCTGGATGGCCATCTGTAAGGAGGGCTTTGATTATGTCTTCCTGCAGAGCAAGGGGTTGGACTGGATGGCCCTTGGGGTCTCTTCCATCACTATGATTCTATGTTTGAGAGGATGGATGGCCATCTGTAAGGAGGGCTTTGATTATGTCTTCCTGCAGAGCAAGGGGTTGGACTGGACGGCCCTTGGGGTCTCTTCCATATGTTTTAGAGGCTGGATGGCCATCTGTAAGGAGGGCTTTGATTATGTCTTCCTGCAGAGCAAGGGGTTGGACTGGACGGCCCTTGGGGTCTCTTCCATATGTTTTACAGGCTGGATGGCCATCTGTAAAGAGGGCTTTGATTGTGCCTTCCCTCATAGTAGGGGGTTGGACTGGATGGCCCTTGGGGGTCTCGCCTAACTTTTCTATGATCTTCCCAACTGGAGAGGAGCAAGGCATTTGGTACTCACATCTGGCGCCCGTGCTGGTCTTCGCGGGTGAGCACCCCTTCCTTCTCCATCAGCATTTGCCGGAAGGTCCCAACCTTCTGCCGGATCTCCTCTTCCGAATACCTGGAAGTCCAAGATGAGGGAGACAGGGAATGAGAGGCAGCCAGGGAGACTCCTTTCCCTTTGGCCACCTGTAAAGAGGGCTTTGATTGTGCTCGGCCATCCCCGAGCTACAAACATCCAACTTGTTAAGGACTCACTAGTAACAACTGGGCTGAGACAACAGAAAGTGAGAGACATTTGGTTAACAAGGATTTATGGGCCCATTGGCCTGGCTTCGGTGGTTTTCGAGGTTCATTAACTCTGAGTTATGGGCCCAGGTTCAACGGCAGGAAAGAAACCTGTTGTAAAGATCATCTGGGGTCAACCCACTAGGATTTATAGCCAGGTTGCAGTTCTCTGGGAGGTTTTTTTTTCTTTTGGACTGCAATTCCCATTTCCCATTAATCCTTTCTAGCTATACGCTGCCCCCTTGTGGCTGCATCTCAATATTGCATACATTCATCCTTAGAGGCCAGGAGCTAATCCTTTCTATTGATACACTGCACCCTTGTGGCTACATCTCAGCATTGCAAACATACATTCCTAGAGGCCAAGAGTAATCCTTTCTACCTATACACTGCCCTCTTGTGGCTGCATCTGAGCATTGCATACATACATCCCTAGAGGCCAAGAGCTAATCCTTTCTATCAATACACTGCATCCTTGTGGCTGCATCTCAGCATTGCATACATACATTCCTAGAGGCCAAGAGTAATCCTTTCTACCTATACACTGCCCCCTTGAGGCTGCACCTGAGAATTGCATACATACATTCCTTGAAGTCAGAAGCTAATCCTTTCTAGCTATATGCCGCCCCTTGTGGCTGCATCTGAGCATTGCATACATACATTCCTAGAGGCCAGGAGCTAATCCTTTCTATCAATACACTACATCCTTGTGGTTGCATCTCAGCATTGCATACATACATTCCTTGAGGCCAGAAGCTAATCCTTTCTATCTATACGCTGCCCCTTGTGGCTGCATCTGAGCCTTGCATACATACATTCCTAAAGGCCAAGAGCTAATCCCTTCTATCTATACGCTGCTCCTTGTGGCTGCATCTGAGCATTGCATACATACATCCCTAGAGGCCAGGAGCTAATCCTTTCTATCGATACACTGCCCCCATGTGGCTGGATCTGAGCATTGAGCCCATACGTTCCTAAAGGCCAATGGCTAATCCTTTCTATCTATACACTGCCTTCTCATGGCTGCACAAGAGCATTGCATACATTCATCTCTAGAGGCCAGGAGTTAATCCTTTCTATCTTTACACTGCCCTCTTGTGGCTGCATCTGAGCAATGCATAAATACATTCCTTGAAGCCAGAAGCTAATCCTTTCTAGCTATATGCTGCCCCTTGTGGCTGCATCTGAGCAATGCATAAATACATTCCTTGAAGCCAGAAGCTAATCCTTTCTAGCTATATGCTGCCACTTGTGGCTGCATCTCAACATTGCATACATTCATCCTTAGAGGCCAGGAGGTAATCCTTTCTATTGATACACTGCACCCTTGTGGTTGCATCTGAGCATTGCATCCATACATCCCTAGAGGCCAGGAGCTAATCCTTTCTATCAATACACTGCATCCTTGTGGCTGCATCTCAGCATTGCATACATACATTCCTTGAAGCCAGGAGCTAATCCTTTCTAGCTATACGCTACCCCTTGTGGCTGCATCTGAGCATTGCATACATACATTCCTAAAGGCCAAGAGCTAGTCCTTTCTATCTATACATTGCCCCCTTGTGGCTGCATCTGAGAATCGCATACATACATCCCTAGAGGCCAGGAGCTAATCCTTTCTATCGATACACTGCCCTCTCGTGGCTGCATCTGAGAATCACATACATTCATCTCTAGAGGCCAAGAGCTAATCCTTTCTATCTTTACACTGCCCTCTCATGGCTGCATCTCACCATTGCATACATACATCCCAAGAAGTCAAGAGCTAATCCTTTCTATCTTCAAGCTACCTTACAGTGATACTTTGATTTTTACATACATGTATTTTACATGTTTTATGACAATGCACATTTAAGCCGTGTCATGCACCACCTCAGAGAGAGTCACGTAAGAAATCTATTATTATTATTATTATTATTATTATTATTATTATTATTATTACATAGAGTGAGATACAAAGTGGTTCCCATTCAAAAATGGATTGGTCCGTACACTTTGTGTTTGGGATAGGTGCTGACAGGACAGCTGGGTGGCCATCTGTAAGGAGGGGTTTGATTGTGTTTTCCTGCATAGCGAGGTTGGACTGGACAACCCTTGGGGCAATTGGAATCCAGAACCATGGAAAGCTGGGCTCGAAACCTTGAGTAGATGCCCTGACCATGGTCACCACAGGCCTTTCCGACAGCCAATGGGAAGCCGCCAAGGCCCTGTCAATCACCTCCCGGCCGTGGCTGATAATGATTGGCAAAGGGCCGAGCCTTTCTTCTGGTTTTCCGAACCCATCGGGAGCACCCCAGGCTCCCTCCTAATGAAGGCATCAATAATTCCTTTTCATCTGACTTCAAACGGTGCCGGGCCACATGTTTTTTTTGGAGTGACTCATTACAGGCTCGAGCTCATAAGATACAAGGAGTAGGAAAAACAGATGCAGAAAGAAGAGGCTTTGGGGAGTCCAGTTCCTAGGAGATTTGGAGTCACTTTTCAGAACATGGGCGTTCGGATCCATTTCCAGATTACTCTGAAATCTGGACATTTTTCAGACTCTGCCTTTGTCTTTTAGGAAGTATTATTATTATTATTTGGTGGCCATCTGTCAGGAGGGATCGGATGGTGTCTTCCTCACAGCTGAAGGTGGTGGGACTGGATGTCCCTTGGGGTCCCTTTCAGCTATGGGATTCTATTATTATTATTATTATTATTATTAGAGCTTTGGTGGCCATCTGTCAGGAGGGATCGGATGGTGTCTTCCTCACAGCAGAAGGGGGTTGGACTGGATGGCCCTTGGGGTCCCTTTCAGCTATGGGATTCTATTATTATTATTATTATTATTATTATTATTATTATTATTAGAGCTTTGATGGCCATCTGTCAGGAGGGATCAGATGGTGCTTTCCTCATGGCAGAAGTGGGTGGGACTGGATGTCCTTTGGGGTCCCTTCCAGCTCTGGGATTCTATTATTATTATTATTATTATTATCAGAGTTTCAACGGCCATCTGTCAGGAGGGATCGGATGGTGTCTTCCTAATGGGGTGCCTTCCTAAGGGGATGGGACTGGATGTCCCTTGAGGGTCTCTTCCAGCTCTGGGATTCTATTATTATTATTATTATTATCAGAGTTTTAATGGCCATCTGTCAGGAGGGATCGGATGGTGTCTTCCTCATGGCTGAAGGGGATAGGACTGGATGTCCCTTGGGGGTACCTTCCAGCTCTGGGATCCTATTACTGTTTGTATTATTATTATTATTATTACTACTACTACTACTAGTAGTAGTAGAGTGTCAATGGCCATCTATGAGGAGGGATCGGATGGTGTTCTCCACACAGCAGAAGGGGGTTGGACTGGATGTCCCTTGGGGATCCTATTACTGTTTATATTATTATTATTATTATTAGCAGAAGTAGTAGTAGTAGTAGGAGTAATAGTAGCAATAGTAGTAGTAGAGCTTCAATGGCCATCTATGAGGAGGGATCGGATGGTGTCTTCCTCCTGGATGAAGGGGGTTGGACTGGATGTCCCTTGGGGTCCCTTCCAGCTCTGGGATCCTATTACTGTTTGTATTATTAKTAKTAGTAGTAGTAGTAGGAGTAGCAGTAGTARTAGTAATAGTAGTAGAGCTTCAATGGCCATCTATGAGGAGGGATCGGATGGTGTCTTCCTCCTGGCTGAAGGGGGTTGGACTGGATGTCCCTTTGGGGTCCCTCCCTTTCACCTTGAGGATTCTTTGATCGTATTTTTATTAAGGAGAGACTGGGTGGACATCTGTCAAGAGGGATTGGATGGTGTCTTCCTCCTGGCTGAAGGGGGTTGGACTGGATGTCCTTTTGGGGTCTCTCCCTTCCAACTCTGGGATTCTTTGTATTCTAATTAAGGAGAGACTGGGAGGACATCTGTCAGGAGGGATCGGATGGTGTCTTCCTTTATGGCAGAAATGGGGTTGGACTGGCTGGCCTTTAGGGGTCCCTTCGATCTGTAGGATGCTATCCCCTTCCTTCCTTCCTTCCTTCCTTCCTTCCTTCCTTCCTTCCTTGCCTCTCTTCCACATCAGGAGGGCATCCACAACATGAAAACAGTCTGTGGCTTTGAGATGTTTCAGGAGGCTTGTCAGATAAAAGGGAGCCAGCGGAGCGAGAGAAAGAGAGAGACAAGAAGAGAAGGCAAGAAGGAAGGGGCTGCCTCGTCGTTAAATCCTTGCCTTTTGAAATATACATCAAGATCCCATCGTTTTCGGGGGGAGGAAAAACCCGCCACCGAAGAAAAGCAAAAATATCGTATTTAGTGATGGCTTTGGATGACAACAACTGATTTTTTTTTAAACTACCCCTGATGTTTAATTCTGTTTCAATGTTTGTATATGAGTCTCCCTGTGGAGAAAAAAGGGGGGTAGAAATAACAACAACAACAACAACAACAACAACAACAACAACAACAACAACAACTTAAAATTTTGGTACAATCTTAAATGACTTTTTCAAACCTGGGCAACTCCAGGTACCCAAGCTAGTATGTATTTATGTGTGTATGTATATATGTATGTGTGTGTGTGTATATAAACATATATACTAGCCGTCCCCTGCCACGTGTTGTTGTGGCCCACTCTGTTGGTCATAGGGGTTCTGTGTGGGAGTTTTGGCCCAATTCTATCATTGGGGGGTACAGAATGCTCTGTGATTGTAGGTGAACTATAAATCCCAGCAACTACAACTCCCAAATGTCAAGATTCTATTTTCCCCAAACTCCACCAGTGTTCACATTTGGGCATATTGAGTATTCGTGTAGAGTTTGGTCCAGATCCATCATTGTTTGAGTCCACAGTGATTTCTGGATGTAGG